TGCTACATGATCAACTGTTTCTGATCCTTTCCACACCTTTTCTTTCACAATGCAATCGCATTACCAGCACTAAAGTTTATCTTTAAAGTAATACATTATTGATGTGTAAAAGAATAAATAAATACCACAATATAGGAAACCTTTGTTCACAAATGAAATTTTGGAGATTTGAAAGAAAAAACGAATTTTGTCATCTGCTCCCAGGCGAAAACAAACTTCTAAACAAGAAAGAGCAATGAAGAAGAAATGCGACATGCGTACACAAAGTTAAAGAGTTAACAACGCTACCCCCCCCCCACCCCCACCCCATAAATGACTCAAAGCAACATTTACATGTAATAATGTTGATAATGATGAGAATTAGTCTTTGTATGCATTACAGCTCTTCCCTATCATTTTCCCAATTATTTTGTATTTCTTTCCTTCTGTCTTTCTTTCATTTTTGTTTTGTTCATTTTCGTTTTGTGCTGTTGTTTTACCTTTCCCTATACTGTATATATATATTATGTATATATATATATATATATATATATATATATATAATTTTTATATTATATTATATGTATATATATATATATATTTATATATATATATATATATATATATGTATATATTTGTCTTTTTCCGTTTTATTTCTTTCTTTCTCTCTTCATTCCGTCCTTTGTTTTTTTCTTGCAATGTTTTTGCTTTGACATTTCTCCTCCAGGAAGAAAGGTGATGTGGTGTGCTTCAAGTCCAGACCTCCCCACCACCCTCCCGTACACGATGGCCAGGTTCTTTTGCATTTATATCACTGATTAAGCCCGGTACCCCTAGTATTATGTCAGCATGCCCTATGCCAGCTACGCCTTTGAAGCTGAATGCACATGAAAGCATTTCGTTCGAAATCATTCACTTTTTACTGTTTGTTTATTTTTTGTGTTAATACTTTTATTTATTTATTTATTTATTTATTTATTATTTATTTATTATTTATTTATTTATTCATTTGTTTATTTATTTGTTTATTTATTTATTTATTCATTCATTCATTCATTCATTCATTCATTTTCAAGTTTCAATTTTTTTGTTCCACATTTTACAAAACATATAGACTGTACAATAGTAATTGTATATATATATAACTGTAGTATGAGCACGTCTCAATGATACTCAATTCACATTTATAGTAGAATGTGAGGAACCTATTCATGCATGCATGCATTAATCTATCTATACATTGTATCTATCTATCTATCTATCCATTTATCTATTCATGCATCTATTTTGCATTCATTTTTGCATTTTATATATTATTTCTATTTTTTTATCAATATTTATATCTATTTATGTATTCATTTATTCATTCATTCGTCCATTTCTCAGTTTGTCCATTAATAGAAATAAAATACATGCCTCTACCCGGGGATCTCCCACCAACGCCCAACTCGCAAGAGGCCTACATCTCTTTTGAAGGAGATCGAAGGACATCTTATTCAGCAAGATGCGACGATGGAACAATCTCGACAGTATCTCTTGTCTTCAGCTTTCTGCACCGCCGCGCCGTTCGTGTGCGATCGATTCCGTCGACCAAACGGTGATAATAGGGACTTTTAGATTTGCACAAAGACAACGTGGATTGCTACGATCGACGTCCTTTTAATGCTTTGCCTTGAATGGACGTCACACGTATCAGTCCACGCAAATCTAAAAGTCCCTATTGCCGATAAAGTGAAGAGACTCCGAGATATGATATTTATATATATTTTCATAAGAGACAGATATTGTATTGAAGATTAATCCTCAAAATTTGTTTTTTGTTGCTTGTGTTGTTTGGGAGACGATGTTTCATGAGCTTATGACGGATTTTTATTTAATTGGTATCATCATGATACACGTTTCTCACACGTTAACAATGTATGCCAACGTGCATGTCGAAGATAATTTTTGAATTAAATTGGAACTAGCCCAACTAATTTGTATTAAAATGTTTTTTGTTTCGTAACCTGGTCTATAATTATTCGTTCGCAAGTGTCACAATTTATGCAAAAAAGTATTCTGTCGACGGTATACTTGATTGAATATTTAAGTTTGGACATAGAGAGATAAAATCAAACTAAAATCCCGCTATATTTGCCTACAATCATGTTCGAATGATTTGAACCCCCCCCCCCCTCTCCCTTTTTTTTTACTCACTCTCTATCTCTCTTTTTTCTTTCTCACAGGTGGTGTTACCCACAACCTGAATACGGTTGATTCAATTTAATTCAATAAAGGTTTATTCAAACGTTTTTCGCAGTACAAAGACTGAATTATACATAATACAAATATTAAAATACATTGTAGATATAAATTGCAATTGTGAAAAAAAAACATATTAAGATAAATACCAAATTACATAAAATACTTTTCTCAAATGAAACAGCAAAATCTTTAGTCAGTTT